ATAGTCATACATGTGACACTCTGTGCAATACACTGGATAGCCCACAACCCCGTGCTGGCATTCTGGCTTCATAATTGCTTTTTTAAACAATAATTATATATAATCCCCCTTTAAAACCCTTTAAGTGGTTTTCCTTGTAGAAGTCTACTTACCTTACTGGGAACCCAAGGAGACTAGGGCCCTGGCTTTCTGGCTCTTCCTGGGCTTCTTACAGAGCCCCTAGTCTAAGAGTCCCTAGGCCAAGAGCCTCATCCTTTGGCTCTCACCCTTTGGTTCGTGCCAGAGGCTCGTGTCTCTGGCAAAGTGCTGCTTTAAATAAAAACTTCCCCTCAGCAGAGGGTGTGGCCAGCAACTATGCAAATTCACCCAGTCACTCACAGTCAAACAATGACCCTTTCACACCTTATCTCAGGCAGCCAGGACTCTGCAACAACTCACAACTCACCCACACACTCCCAAACACAGTCCCCCATACAGTACCCTCTCAGCTAAAAGTAAGTAAAAAAACCACTCACCTCTCTAGCAGGTCTATTTCCTGCTCCTTCTCAAAGCTCAGCTAAGTCAGCTCTGCTTCTGGCTAGGTGTTCTTAACAGTGGGCTGCACTCCAAGTGATTTTTGTGATTGCTTTAGTCTAGAACACCTATTACCCATAGCCTGGCCTGTATTAATGATAATCACACCACAGATTAATCCTTACAGCTCTTGGCAGGCCTGTAGCCAGGATGTTTTTATCTTTGGGAGCTCTGTGGTTGGGGGGGGGCTGCTAATGTTGGGGGACTTAATTTAAAATAAAATTTAAACCCCGAGAGGGTTTTAATGTGCCTCCCCTCTTTTCCCTCCACCAGCCAGCTGAGCAGAGAGGGGGTTTAAACTTTAACACCCCCCCCCGGAGTTGCACTGCAGTGGCAACACCATTTCTCCATTGGACTCCAGCTGGCTGGCAGGGGGAGGTGCAGCCTCTTGCTGGCGGAAGAAGACCCAGCAGACAAGGAGGCCACCTGGCTGCCCCCTCCCTCCCCTCTCTTCCCCCCCAACCAGCTGAGCAGAGAGGAGGTTTAAACTTTAAACTCCCTCTCTAGAGTTGTGCTACCGCTCCATTGTGTCCAATGGATAAATTGTTTCCACCGCTGCAGCATGACTCCAGAGAGGGAGTTTAAAGTTTAGACCCTTTCTCTGCTCAGCTGGCTGGTAGGGGAAGAGGAGGGAGGGAGCAGCCAGGTGGCCTCCTTGTCTGTTGAGTCTTCTTCCTGATAGCAAGCAGGGAGATGACTCCACCGGCAAGGGAGGAGGGAAATCTCATGGGCTGTCCCTTTAAGGGAGGGGGCTGAACCCCCAATAGCCCCACCATAGCTACAGGCTGGGCTCTTAGAATATGCATCTCATAACTCCTGAATTGTAAGTTGGCCAACATATGTATAATAGCATAAGGCTATTTGATCAAGACAAATAATGATCTTAGAATAAGCATGAAGCAGTGCACCCATGGTGAGCTCTGCAATGTATTTTAAAAGTATGTATTGTGCAACAGAAGTCACATTCAAGAGAAATTCAGCATACCACAGTAGCTCTCAAACACCCACAGTTTGGTTAAGCAGCA